GGAATTGGTGGAAAACTGGCAAAATCCCAATCAAGTCTGGAACGTAGTTACTAGCAACGTACCCATCTGTCGGTGGTTTCTTGGTTGACATTTACTCATGAGAATGCAAGAAGTTAATATCGGGGAAATTGAATTGTCTGTGTTATCTTTGTAACTTTTCTACAAACCTCAACTTATCCCAAACTTAAAAGTTCATTAAAAGTTAAAATGTCGGGAGGAGGGGCACTGAATTTGACCAAATGAGTTTGAGAGCATTGCCAGGGAGCCACGGTTCCCTGCCCAGCCACCAGGACTCACAGCCAGACTGGGAGACCCAGCAGCAGGGCCCCCAGAGCAGCCACCCAGCCAAGGGGTGGAGGGGAGGTAGGTTGCTGTGTGCCGTTGGCACTTTCCCATCACCAGTGAGCAGACCCTGACATCTCCCCGGGAAAAGAGTCGGGAACCTTGCCCCTCTGTGCAGAGTTATAAAGTGTCTAGTCCAGCCCCCTGAGCTCAGAGGAGAGGAGCCTGGGGCCCAGGGAGGAGAGGGACTTGTCCAAGGTCCTGGTGGATTTTTAAGTGCAGGTCAGATTTTAAGTCAGTTGTGGCCCTGAAAGGTCCCCCAAATTAACCAGCCCAGGAGGAAGAAAAGTACAACAGGTAAAGTAGCAACTAATGTGAACTCTGTTTCAGAGCTCCTCCTTTTAAGACTCCAGTCACTGCTTTATAACTAAGAAATCCCCACTGTTGCTGGCTTGATAGTGGAGGAGTGGAGATGTGAATTTTTCTCTCTCAAGTCACATCTAGATGTGACCTTTCTTGTAAACCATAATCAACTTCCATTTGTATGAACGTTAGGAAGTTCGAGGTGAATGCCAAACTATTTTTAAAGAGATAGATGGATAGAGATGGGTAGATAGACGACGATACTTAGTGACTCAAAGAGTCGGTGGTCTTGCTGTCCTGACACACCTCTCCTTTGCAAGGAGCATGCTGGACTTGGGCTTCCTCGCAGGTTTCCTCCATCCTCATCAGTAATGACTTAACAACCATCTTTTTTAGAAGGAATTTTGGAAGCTTTGTAATTTATGAAATTCTAATCAAGTAACATTTTGAAAGAATGTAGGTCCCAGGCTGCAACCCTCATCGGATAAGTGAAGTCTCAGAGACCACTGATTTACTTTTGAGGGTTCCTGGTTTTTAAAACATACGTATGAAAAAAGCGATTGCCTCTTTAGCTCCCTAACGTAAGGGAAAAGTGTGCCATCCTGCAACTTGACTTGAGTGTAATGACGGTACGGGCTTATCAGACCATGAGCAGCACATTAACTGTCTCTACGTCTCTATGTACAGGGGTGGCGGACAGCGGGGCAGACAGCCATCAACGCATAGTGTTCGTTTTGGCAATTCCTACCGGGATGAGATCGCTTCCCCTCCCTTAGATGTAAAAGGCAGAGGTTTCTGCATTATACATCAGGGTAGAGGACTGAACCACGGATCAATAAATCCTATGATCTCACTACTGGGGCTGTAATTGAGCCAAATCATCTCAAACTGGGCGGTGGGCCCCAGGTTCCTGGAGGCATGCTCACTGTTTCTTTGAGTAAAATGGAGGGCTGACCTGCATTTACAAGAACGCAGAGGCCAGCTCACCGGTACTAACATTCTGCACCAACGTCATCACAGGCCGTTCCTCCCAGACCATGGCTGCTCCGTGCCTGCCCTCCGCAGCCGGGCGAGGTCGCGCCGGGCCTCCATCTCCCCGTGGCTCCCCCACGTCACAGAACTGAGCCACCGACGGGAGGGTGCCAGTTACCTCTTGGTCCCTGTTTCTTCAAAGGCAGATGTTTAGTAACTAACAGCTTCACAAAACCCGGCCGAACGGTCTGCAAATCGAACTGGGATCTGTCTTTTAAAGTCACTGTTTTCGTCAATTTACTTCGCCGTTGTCTTATGCACTTTACATTGTTTCTCTCTGACAAGCAGACATTTCACACACAAGTCTTGGTTGATGTTAGAGGTTAACAGCGGAGCATCCAGCGCTTGGCAGGCGTTTCTGCACGCCCAGCACCCAGCTTTTGATGGGCATCAATTCTTCTGACCCTCCCAGCAGCGCAGCCAAGTGTCTGCTCTCACTGTTCCCATTTCGTAGGTAAGGAAGCTGAGGCCAGGGTCAGGGAACCTGCTCGCTCATGGATGTGTAGCTAAAAAAGGAGAGAAGTTGTGATTTCATCCAGGTCGTCAAACTCCAGGGTCCCAGCACAGTTCCTGATAGTGACCCCTTCGGCAGCATCTCCTCACAGTAACCCGGTGCCGCCCACCCAGGTGAAGGCCTCAGGGTGCCTCCCCCAGTGCTCTCTCAGCACTTCTCTAGGGCACTCAGGGCACCCAGGGACCTCCTCTCCTCCATCCACCCAGCTGAGGCCTGTCTGGATTGTTTCTACTGAAATAGGGACCATCACAGAGCTCTGTGAGCAGAAGTGATTGCTGTTCCTCTCGTGGCGTGAGTTCCCTAATTTGATGTGTGGCTCTCGGCTCAGCCTGTTTCTCCTCAAATGCCCTGCGAAGGGGTCCAGCGAGTGCTGGAGCCCAGGAACCTCCACCGCCAGCCTCTCTGCCTCCTCCCGGCCTTTCTGATCATGAAGACACTAACTGCCAGGCTCTTTCCTTTGGACGCTGGGAGTCCCTGTGGGTGTGTGTGCCCGGAGGCCCAGAGTCAACATGCCAAGCTGCGCTCGCATCCAGCTCTGCCCACAGCGGGGTCTCGTGTTTCCTGCCCACCTGGGACGGGGTGTCACATCCTGGCCCGCCCTCCTGAGTTCAATGAAGAATAGTTAAACACAACTGTGAAAGGCAAAGCAGGACCTGGGTTTTATAACATCTAAGCAGTAAACTAGTGGTAATTGAGATTCAATGTAATTTCAAAGCATTTACCACTTTGAACGAAGAGAAAATCCTTTACAGATATGGTTGGCAAAAGCCATATCCAGTAAAACATTGAACCTTACAGCGGTCATAAAATCTTTACGGTGAAAGTCTTAAGCCTATATGTTTGGATATCATCTTTAATGAAAGCTGATTTGACAGATATAGGGTGGGGCAAAAGTAGGTTTACAGGTGTTAGAATGGAAAATAACACAATAATGAATAAATAATAATACAAGAATAAACTCTGTGTTTGGCATAGTCACAGATGTAAACCTACTTTTGCCTCTCCCTCTCATTCATGGGAGTGGAAAAACCCAAGGTGGCATCTCGCCCGCAGGAATGATGGGCCCAGGCCTGCCCTGTTCACTCTGGTGTGCCAGCCAGGAAGGGCTCCCGGGGTCAGCAGGGGGATTCCCCGGTGGTCTCAGAAGGAAGGGAGATCCAGAAATATGGGGAAGGAGAAATAGGAAGGAGGTTACTTTTGACCATCTTCTGGAAGCTTCTCCTTGTCTGACCATCTTTGCATGCCCACATGTTACCTGCAAGCATCTTTGACAAGGTGCCACACTTGCAGAGTAAGCAGGAGGGATACTGTTCCCCTGTTTTCCCTCCTGGTGGGAACCCCTGCCCACACACCCTTCCCACTGAGCCAATACTTGCGGAGTATTTACCCCATTCAGGCCGCCTGAGTCAGTCCTGTCTGAACCCCAGTGGGCAATGTTGAATGTCATTTTGTCTGGCTGTAACATATACCCCAACATATACCCAGGCAGATGCCGCTGAGTCAAGCCCATATGTTTATTGAGCAGCTTCTGTGTGTGTCCAGGACTGTGCCGGGCACTGGGGAGCAGAGAGAACTGTCAGAGGTGTCACCTGCCATTTAAAGCTTATGGTCCTAGCAGGAGAGAGAACAGGCATGAACAGTGGCTGCCCTCGCTGGCAGGTTGCACGAGGACCGCCAGGAGGAAGGTGCTGGGAGCTGAAGAGTTGGGAGAGTTCTCTCCCATCAGGAGGGCCAGGAGGCAGTGGACTCAGATGGGGCGGGGAAAGTGAATGAGACACCTAGTCGATACAGACAATGGAAGTGAGCCTTTCAGAGCGAGCTAACAGGGTTAGTGTGGTCCCAGTAGTGGAAGGTACAACCTTTCAGGTCCACCTGCTTAAAAGCAGACCTGCTGCTTCCCCATATCTATGGGCAGAGCCCTGCATGGCTACCTCCTGGAGACTTGAGTCTCTTTCAGTAGATTTAGGCTGCTGGTGCCCTGGGGTCAAAGACTGCCTATTTTTATTCCTTCATTCCTCCCACAATGCCTGAAAATGTGTTTGTGTGTGTGTGTGTGTGTGTGTGTGTGTGTGTGTGTGGTGATTGAAATGCTTATAGTATCAGAAGCTATATTTTTGGGTATGTTTGAAGCCCCAAGAAACCCTTTGCAGTAATGATCTCCATTATCCTTCATATGACCTTCACACATTATGCCTGCACATTTGTCTGCCTGCCCAGATGTTGGTCATTATGGTAATGCAGTCCCTGCGCCATAGCCCATGATGCCCCGGGGAGCTTGTGCATGTCAGGCTGGGCGAGGCAGAAGGCGCAGGTTAGCAGGAGGAAAAGAGAGGACCCCGGGGCTGATCCAGAGAAACCAACCAGCACACCTGGCGGGAAGACATAGACGGTGACAAGAGTTATTTCTGTGCATTAAAAACAAATAAATCAAGCCCTTGAGACATAGACAGTGACAAGTTATTTCTGTGCATTAAAAACAAATAAACGAAGCCCTTGAGACATTAGGGACATTACATGATGTAAATGATGGAGCATGGTGGAAGGAATAATTAAAATCAGAAGACTGTTAGGGAGCTTCAGAATGAGTCAAATTAGGCTCATAGGCTGGACCACACTAAAGATATTTGCTGGATGTTGAAACATAGCATTCACAGCTCACATTGAAATGCGTGGTTCTGGTTCTGTTTCGTGCTACAGTGAAGATGATGCCACACCCTTTCCCCCCTCGGAGTCCCAGGGTGCAGCGCCCTGCATATGGACAAGCCGTGGACGGGCTGTGTGTGACCTTCTCTGTGCTTTCTCCTGGCAGGAAACGGCAGGAGCACGCCCCCGTCCTATGGGTTCCAGCTAACACCAGAGGAAGAAATGAGGAGAATGCGGCTTCACCGATTCGATCGCCAGTGAGGACGCCGCATCCCGCAGACAGCAGTGGTGTCATTGCTGCCCGTGTGGTTCCCCCCAAACCTGATGACTAAACAGAAGCAGAGAGCGGCTATCATCCAGAGCGCTCAGATCTGCCTTGCCCGTGTGGCTCCCGTGGCCCCAGGAGCCTAGAGTCCCAAGCAGGCTGGTAGCCCTGAAGCCAGCCTTGCTGGACAGCCTCCTGCCAGTGGCCTTCCCCTGGCCCTGCTTTCTCTCACACACAAGGCCAGTGCCTCCACGTAGGGACTGGTTTCCACCCTCTGTTCCCTCACTGCCCACTCCGCGGCGCCTCTGCCTTGTTTTGTTTTTGAGGACTCTGACCTTCACCGGGAGGTTTGTCTCCACCAGCTCCAGCTCCTAAGACGGGGTTTTGTTCTGCCTGGCCTGCTCCGTGTACGACTTTGCAGGAAGTGAGGAGCAGTGCCTGGTCCTCCTGGCATGTTGCCATGGTGACCTCCCAGGACCGGGATGTGGCTCCCACCGCACTGTTCCCATCTCCTTGTGCAGGAACCCCAGCTCCTTGGCCCCTGCATCTGGGTGGTGCTGGCAGTGCACGTGGTTTGGTCTTGTATTGCTGGCCTTACAGAGCGTCTGACCGCAAGAGCTTTAGTGAGAGCAGGTGGGGAAAGCGCTTGCTGGACAGCCGCCTGCGAGCAGCCTTCCCCTGGCCCTGCTTTCTCTCACAAACTAGGTCAGTGTCTACATGTGGGGACCAGTTCCCACACTCCATTCCCTCACTGTCCACTCCGTGGCATCTCTTCTGATAGCACTTTGAACAACTGGACATCAGGTGCCACCAGCATGCAGAATAGGCCAAAGTGTTGGTGGTATGTTCACTGAGAAATTGCGCTTGAGGAAGCCTTTTCTCATCAAAGTGCCTTTTCACTGGCCTCTGTAATAGCCACTCATCTCCTCAAGTATCTAAGACATGTCCTGTTGTCTGGCCAATCATTTAAGTGCTTCCTGGTGCTTCTGTTTTATGAAAAGGACAGTTGATATCACTGACGTCTTAGTCACTGAGATATTTATTTTTTAAAGAGTTGGAAGCAGCTAATATCTATTTCAATTTACCTAGGATTTATAAAGAGTTTTCTGATTATGAAAATAATATACATGTCCCTCGTATATGCATAAAGCAAGCATATTATGGAAGAAAATAAGAGGTTATTTTGGGGAGTGGAGCAAAAAGGTTTTTGCTTTCTGTTTTTATAATTTTATATCGCTCTTTTAATATATATATGTATGTGTGTATGTGATCACTTTTTCAATAAGAAAACTGATTTATATCATAATAATAAATCAAAAATATATACAGACAGTCCTTGGATTATGTCGGACTCGATGTAAGTCATTTTGTGGTTATGTCGCCATCTCCCATTTATTAAAAACAAAAAAGTTACGTCATTTCAACGTACATATGTGATTTATGTTTTTATTTACCACAAGTAAAGGTCAGGAATTGTTATCTTTCTTTTAAATTGTTTTTTACTGTTTTACTTCATTACTGCTGTGTGTGCGCTCCATGTGAGTGACGTAGATGCTTGTGGAGGTAGGTTTAGACTTTCAGTGAAAATCGAGTTACCTCACGCCATAGGAACAGATCTTCAACATAACCCAAGGACCTACTATAATCAAGAAAATGGACTATAATCAAGAAAATAAGTAGTCTATTGAGAAAATTCACGCTATAAACAGTTACAAATATATACGTGTATAATTTTAAAATCACCTGGATTCTCACCACTCAGAAGTGCCCAGAGTTAATACTTTGGGGGTATTGTTTTCTCAGCTTTTCTTTGTATATATTTGGCAACTTGGAGCATACCAACTGTGCAGTTTTGTGTCCAGTTCCTAATCTGAATTGACCTTGGAGAGGCTTTGACACTCACATAGAAATGCCCTAAGGAAACCACTTTGGACCTGGGAGCACTGGCCCCCTTCGTCTAGCACAGATGCCTGGGCTCTTTGGGTTAATTCATCATTGAAGTAAAGCGATAGCTTGTTTATAATATGAGTTGTACCTGTGAGTCTGGTAACTTTAAACGTATTTAAATTAAAATGTTCAAGTTAAATGCCATTCCTCTCTCCCCCAAACTACAAATTGGACTCCTGTTTTCCTCGTTAGGAGTAACCTCATTGTTGTACATCATCTTCTGATAGCACATTGAACAAGTAATCTGCTAGAACTTACTTCTGTCCCCACTGTTACTTGTGCACAACTACACCAAGACATGCTTTCTGCACCGGAGCCTGGACTGTGAACAGCTCTGCGACCAGGCCCAAGACTGGCCCGGCTCCTGGTGGGGACTCATGAAATGTTAGCTTCTCAGCAAATTGTTGGGTTTTCTTTCAATGCATGAAGTCTAATAACTTTATATCTATGTAAGTGGGGTTTTTTTGTTTGCTTGTTTGTTTGTTTTTTGGGGGGCAGGTGTATTGCTGTTGAATCCAAGAATAGTAGCTCCTGGCTGTATTTGGTCAGATACAAAGACACTGGAGTTGGATTTGGGATGCTGGAACTATAATAATGCACACCTTTTTTATTTATGGATCGGAACATCACTAAGCTTTAGAGAAGAGGCATGGTCATTTTAGTTATAAATATAAACCAGATATCTTATCACCACAGTAAAGATGTTCTGGAAATTATTATACTTACTTCATTCAGTTAATATGTTTGCCTGTAACCGGGGCTTATTATTTCCCATGTCCATCTGTTTTCATTTGTTCCCTACAATAAGGAATCCCCAAAATTATGCCAACAAAAATAAGTGTATTGGACAAATTATCTCTAATAGTGAATAAGCACATAGAGCTGGTTTTTAAATTCTCTGTCTTTGCTTGAGAGCCATTTCCTGATTGTCTGTTCAACATCCATTTCCCAGTTTGGTTGTGGTCAGTCGACTTATGAAACCTCTTAATTCAGAATCTTGGTTCTCAAGGCGAAAGAGTGGTCATTCCTCTGAATGGCTTTGATCAGAAAGTTGTACATGGCTGTTCAAGCCTCCTCCATCGCTTCGTCTGCTGCTGAGGCGCAGACTGAGCCATCAGTGTCTGAGTTTCACAGGACCAGGGCCAGGCTACATATTTGGCATCTGTTTTGCTGCCTGGGGAGTGAGTTAGCTAAAGGGGTGAGATCTGCTGCAAACCAAACTGGGGGACAGAGGGTGTATCCGACCAGGCCTTCTTGTTCCCAGTTTTAGTTTCTCTCAACAGATTCAGAATTCAGTGGAGAATTGTATCCAGTGAGTCATTTTTAAAAACCTGTCACCTCTTCCTTCCCCTTCCCATGGATTATTGCAATAATTTCTTATAATTTTTGCCCCTCCTTTCATTTTAGGATCTCAGACTCTGCGTACAAGGACCTTAAAATCTCTCAATCCCTTGCTCTGCTTAATAATTATAATACCCCTGCATTCAGTTCTACGTAGCCCTACCCAGTAATCTTCCAAAATCGACTCTTGTAATAGCACTCATTATCTCCTACCTCTCATTGTCTCTGTTGCCAAAGGATAAAGGTCATACTCATTAGCCTTGACCATGCAGGTGCCACCCAGCCTCTGGGCCTCATCCCCATTTATCCGTGAGTCTGTGCTGACGGGCTCGCCGCCTAACCTGTGTCTCAATCTGTGATGCGCTCTCACGTGGAGCAGCCTTTCCCTCTCCCTCTGCTCATCAGAGTCTCCCTGACCTGCCCCAGACACCTCAGCCCTGCCTGACCTCACCCCCGTCAGATCCACTGCGCTCACTGGGCTGTCCTCACAGTGTCCACAGCCTACTAGGATTGCTGGTTATCCACAAAGAGAAGCTGTCTCTCTCAGGGGTGTCGAATTCAATCAGAGAAGGGGCCAAAATCTAAAATCCAGCCTAAATCGCGGGCCGAATGGTTTACTGAACAGTCATAAACTGTCATTGTGATGGAAACGCAGTGGAGTGCAGTGATGACAGCGCGGTGCGGGCCACATTGCAAGACCTGGCGGGACGGATTTGGCCCGTGGGCCTTGTGTTTGACACATGTGCTCTAGATTGTAAGCCTCGGGAGAGCAGGCATCATGACTATTTCTGTGCATCTCTTTATACTCTGAACAATGCTTTGGACCACCACAAACAACAAATGTATGTGGACTGAAACAGAGAGCAGCTCATTTATGCCGTCACCACAGGAAGGTGTGAAAAGATGTGCCTGTTGCTTATACATCTTGTTGTACTCCCCCTGAACCTCCTTGGATTACATCAAGGGAAGGGTAACTGGAAAGCAAACATTTGCCCATAGAAATAGAATCTAGGGCCCTTCCCAAGTCTGCATAGGACCACAGGCCCCCTGATGAGACGGTGGGGAGATGTCACCGCCATGTGTCACTAAGACACGCCCACCTCACTGGATGCCGGGACCCAGAGCACAGCCGCGGGTCCAGCACGTCCGGGCCCCAGGAGCGCTGTGAATGCCGCCCAGCTGGCCGCTGCACCCCTGCAGGTATGCATTTGATGTGTCTGTGCTCACATTTTTCCTTCTTCTTTGGAATTTAAGGGCAGGGAGAGAGTGATCTTGACATTGCGTTCAGATGGCAGGAATGAGCTGGCAGATTTGAAAATACAATCTACACCTTATGAAGGAAAACTGGAACATTGCCCATAGAAATCTTTAAATTTGCTGGTAGTATGGATTGCTTCTTAGGAAGAGAATGGTGCCTTAACCTCTGTATCAGGGCACATACGAGCAAGACCTGAAAACACCCCTGCCTCACACACGCCCTGTGCGGGACTGGCCTAGGTCCCTCCTCTAAGTACTGACAGAGCTGCTTGCCCGTGGGCCACGGTTTCTGCCCAGAAGCTGTGAAGTTCTCTCTGTCTCTCACTCTATTTCCCCCTAAAAACCTGGTGTGGTGCCTGGAGGGAAGAGCTAAAAATAATCAAACAACCAAATAGTATGTGAAGACATAGATTCTTGGAATTTACTTGAGGTCCTTTAAAGTTTTTGCCTAACTTTAATCTCAAGAAGCTACCTCTTAATAAGATTCTCTCCCACCAACAATTAAAATGAGCGCACAAAGCCTTAGCAGCAGATCATTAGTAAAACAGTTTTTGCTCAGAGTAAGGCCTCCGAATCTCTAGTCAAGAACAGCTCCAAGGCCAAACTTCCTGCAGCTCTGAGTGTGAGCTCGGGCAGCAGCCAGCTGCACCCAGGAGTGGCTGGGAATTCAGACTCCTGCCCCAGGCCCGTTTTCTAAGGCCCCACGTGTGCACGAGTGGATGGAGAAGATAGGCTGTAGCTATACCGTGGAATCTACGAAGAGATCCATGAAGCAGAGGAAATCTGGCGCTCTGCAGCAACATGGGTGGAAGCAGAGGACCTTATGCTGAGTGAGATTCATCAGATAGACAAGTCCCGATGATCTTCCAGGTGTATGGAATCTAAAAAAAAGTCGAACTGGTAGCAGCAGTAGAATGGTAGTGGTGGCCAGGGTGTGGGGGAAATAGGGAGATGCTGGTCAAAGGGAACAAACTCCCAGTGAGAAGGTAAATGAAATCTGGGCATTCAGTGTACAACACAGAGACTCTAGTTAATCCTGTATTGTTGACTGAAATTTGCTAAAAGAGTAAACCTCAAGTGTTCTCACCACAGGGAGAAGAAGAAAGAAGAATGTGAATGTAGAAGAAAAATCAAAGAAAACTTAGTCTGAGGTGGTTTATAGTCACCAGAATCCTGCTCACATTTCAGGTGCATAAGTGCATTTTAAGATGATCACACCACTTATCTGCTAGGGTTGTAATAACCGTCCTATCAAAAATAGCCTGTTTCACGTGATACTTGCCTTTCTCTGACGGGCTTGTGTCATTTGGCATCATACTCTTTAGGTCCCTCCAGGCTGTCTCAAAGGGTATGAGATCCTTCTTTTTTTGCAGCTGCATAGTATTCCAATTGAGATGAATCACAGAGGGAAGGGGGGAGGAGAAGCAGGAAGAGATTAACCAAAGAACTTATATACATATATCCATATCCCATGGGCACGGATAATAGTGCGGCGAAGGGGGGGAAGTATATGTGGAGA